ATAAAACAGCTGTTCAGTGACTGACTGACAAAATGAACCACAGAACCTCACACACAAGTGGATCAGCTCAAGTTGATACACTTCAAAGAAGTACACAAAGAACAGGTGGATAGAAAAGGAGTAATAGCAAGGTAGATAAAGTTGTGTGAAGAAAACAAGCAATTTGAAGATGAAGGTTAGTGCAAATATTCAAGCTTTGGAAGACTTCAAAGAGTGAATACATATACACCACTGTCACTGGTTTCAAGCCATGTCACCAAGACTTCCCAACCATTGATTCCTTTCGTCTCCGCAACCCCAACTAAGCTGTCTATATCTCCACGCATGCCTCAGATGGACAATCAGGGACTTTATCGACTGACACCACGTCGCGGTCTACTTGCCGTGAACCATCTCTCAACCTAATCAAATCTCCCATCGCATAGCACGTTCAGGTAGGTAGTGGCTGGTTTGCCATCTCAGTCTACTGAGGTTCGACCATGGTCAAAGGTTTTGTTATTGACACTTTATTAGTCGAGTACTAACCACTGCCTGTGAACACAGTTGTTCTATATTAAACTTGGACATAACCTTTGGCATGTCTGACTTCACAGGGATTGATCCACTACTTCGAGGATGCACAGGATACTGTGCTGCTAGATGAAGATACTGACAGAACACAGTCTTTTGAATGCCTTCACCAGAGATCTGAGTATGTTTGGCTCGCATACGTTTCGCTGGCACCTGTCAAATATAAGATGATGCTCCACGACTGGTCTGCAGCCATTCCAAGTTTAATGATCGGAAACGAAGAGGTGGAATGCGTCGAAAAGTTGCATCAGCCAGAACAGGCTGGTTGCTGACCATATCTCACTTCGGATATAGAAGACCAGTTTGGCATTCGTCAACTTGTGTTATCTCTGGCATACACCAGCGAGATATCCGGCTGTCTATCAAACGACGAGTATACTGCGCCACAGTCCGACCTCTCGTGTTATACGATTGCGAGACATGGCAGTTAAAAGTAGAAGAAATGAAGGGATTACAGGGCTTTGATCATAGGTGTCTTCGTGGAATTGCTCACCTATGATGGAATCACTGTATGAGCAATGTTGACGTGAGGGAAGGGTACTAGGCGGCGAGACAATGCGGTAAGTCGATTGATTAGGTTGTGAACCTCAGTCGATTGAGATGGCAAACCAGCCACTATCTACCTGAACGTGCTATGCGATGGGAGGTTTAATTAGGTTGGGAGAGGGTTCACGGCAAGCAGACCGCGACGTGGTACCAGTCGATGAAGTCCTTGACCGTCAGTCTGAACTATGTTGGGGGCAAATATATCTGTTCACTGTTTGACATTTTCTAAAGCTTGAATGCTTCGACCAATCTTAATTCTTAAATCCTTTCTCTTGCAATACACCTTTGTCTACTTTCATATCAGTCTTTTTGTATCCACTTGTTGCTTATATATTACTGTGAAGTGTGGCAACTTGAGCCGATGCACTCGTGTGCGAGATTCTATTTTCCTAAGTTAGTGGAAACTACCAGTTGAGTGGTATTCGGTCACTTCACAATCATACTGAAATACGGACAACTCTACTGCATCGATAACGTTTTCTGAACTTCAAAAAGAGGTATGTAGTATTCGAATGAAGGTAACTGTTACCCTGAAGAGATTGTAATAGTACATCTGCATACTGACAGTGGACCTAACAAACCTTTTCAATAAAACCTACAACCAATTTTATTTCCTCACTGACCTCTTGAATCCTTAGCTAATATTATCCAAGCTCTTATGCGTTTGATTTCAAGCTTTGAAAAGCATATGGAAACAGTTTCGTAATTAAACATACATCAAACCCACATTTATCCTAATCAATATTGATATGAATTAATGAAATATTAGGGTTAGTGACGTTTTTGATGTTGAAATTCACTAGTTGTCTAAGAATTTGTTTATAAACCATAGCAGACTGAACTAACTACTCTATTCCGCCATCTGTATTTAGTGAATCAATTATCCAAAATTGATGAATACGGTTTGCACCAGGGTTCCCAGTTCAATCATTCTCATGTAGTTGGGGGGGGGGGGGATGACACTAAGTGTTAGACTAATCATTATGATGTCTAAGGCCAACTATTTTTTGTGAGAATATCTTGTCTAAAAACAAGTAATCCCAAGTGTTTCCTGTGACTGACAGCGAGAAAGTTGTGCGTGAAAATAAATCAGGAAGGATACTCACGAGGAAATCCTTGAAACATATTAACCTTATAATAATGATGAGTAGTAGTTGACAGTGCAATTCATCAGATACACTTTATTCCACCTGGGACTCTTCTTCCCAGTGAGCATTCTATCCCTAATGAGATACAAACAGCGAATCATTTCCTTTGAATGTTAGAACATTCATTGTTTACCAATTAGCCTACGAAACTACGAGAGGCATTCCTTGAGTAACGGGTTTGGTTTGATATTATGCCTTATAGTTTACCTCCGTTGATTGGTCTGAACTGACTGACCCCTGTTAGTATATAGGCTGTTGGGCAAGGATGCCTCCATATTTCCTATAATTTCGCTTTGTTAATAATAAGATGAGCTGTGTCACACATATCACTGAGTAATTTATCGATTTATTATGCAAGTATATGCAAAGATTTTCAACACTAATGTCAATCAAGTCAGTGCTTCTATATGGTTCAGAGACTTGGCGCGTTACAAAAAGCATTTCCAGCAAACTACAGATATTCGTCAATATCTGCCTACCCTCGATACTCAAGATCAGATGGCCAAAATAATAAGAATAAGCAAGGAGGAACTGTGGCTGGCTGGCTCGCTGGCTGGCAACGAACCAATCAACCGAGAACCTATCACCCAACAAATATGCAGTAGAAGAAAGTGGAAATGGGTTGTACTGGACATACACTGAGAAGGCGGTCTTGGGACATCACGCACCAGGCCAGGCTGTGGAGTGGAAATGAAATGGGAAAGGATGAGTTGGCGTCCGAGAGTGATATAGAGGAGATGATGTGAGGAAGAAACGAAACTTTATGGACAGTAGTGGAACCAGGTTGGAAAGAATGGAGAGAAGAGTTTAAAATGGCGACGTGCTAGTGAAGCCCTATGTTCAACTAGGAACCCAAATGACAAAAAATAATAATAATAGGCAAAGAATGACCATGTAAGCTTGTTGTTCATTTTAAGCGAATGGTATCGGACTCTGTTGCTGTAAATCAGTTACATGTCACAAGTAAAAACATCTTAAAGGCGAAAGTAATATTCACCATCTTGTCTCGTCTACGAACTTAATCGCCAGCAGGTCAACTGACGAAATTTCAACACTGATACTAAAAGGCTTATATGACTATTCCCAGAATACGCTGTCTGTGTAGATACATCTTTCCGTTTCATAGCAGTTTGCATTCCTCAGTTGAGTGGTTTTAATAAATCTCATCGTGTTAGTTTTCCTGCTAAAACTTGACCGAAGCACTCATCACTTGCAATTGAAATTTGTCATTCGATAAGTTAGTGAGATGTGAAGCCACAACTTTCTTGGCGCTGGTATACGAAAACTCTCCAGAGAAGATCAACCTAATAATACTACTGACAGAAACAAAATGTAACATAAAAAAAGGTAATTTTTTCTTTGAATTAAATATATTATTTAAAACAAATAATAGTAATAATGGTGGTGTTGTTTTGTGTATTCACAAAAAAAAGAGAAACAAATTACAACAATGGAGAATTAATTGTTTATGTGTATTTATGTGTTAAGTTTTTGGTTGAATAACATCAATACACTTGTTATAGCTACATTTACAAATACCCTGTTGCAGCCCAGATAATGTAGAATATATATTATGTATAGCAGATGGAAAGAGTTTGAGAGCATTTTCACCAGATCTATGACTAATTATGTTCTGAATGTTGTGCGTGTATATGTGTCTATTTAAGACAGAAACCTAATGTATATGTGCAAATCGACTAAAATTTATGCTCAGCAATGGATAAGTCAAGGTCATTATTACGTGGGTGAATGTATGTGAAGGTCTAAAATCCAACTGATCTATTTGATTGGTCAAAATATTTTTAAAATATCTATAAATAGTTCACATATGAAAGTTTATATTATATCAGTCATTATTAATGCAACGAAGGATTTAAGATAACCGGCGTATTTCTCCACTTTAAAAGGAGATTATAGCTCACTCACTAAAGCGGTATATATATATTCCAGAAAAATGACATTGCAGTAGAAATAACAAGAACAACCACTGTGAATAAAGTAGCTCAATAGAATGTAAATCCTAAATAATAACCTGTTTTCCAAGAAGAGATTATTAGGGCAAAATAGTAAGTAGCATATGGTGAAAATAACATTTATCGCAGTTATCAGATCTTAGTTTTAATAACACTAGTTAGTAATTGACTAGAAGTAGTTATATTACATGCAGACAAAAGTAAAACACGCAAAGATTGGTAAACCTGTATCCTTCTGAATAATATAATAATAATAACAAGAAGAAGAAGGAAACTGTTTATCTGGTGAACCATAGAAGTGTATAGAAAGAAAAGGCAAGAATAAGAAATAATACATAAGAAAGACACTTGGAGAATGAAAATGTAACAAATGCGGACACAACTGTCGATTTCACTATTCATACCTAATAAATCCACATTAAATTAGTTGGTGAGATAGAAAAGGAAAGTATGCAGTAGACCACTTACGCTTCCCCCACTCTGCCTACCCTGCCCCAACTCACACATACACAAACAAACAGGTTGAGGGGAATACAAAGAATGCCACCGATACCAGTGAGTTTTGCACTTAACACCAGTAAATAGATGAACATAATTATATGTATGTATAGATATATATTTACCTGTAGAAACAAAAATAAAAATTGAATAGGGAAAGAAGAGAAAAATTTTGCTAAATACCCTGTTTCCTTTCATTCTTGTCCTCTCCAATATCCCTGTTTATTGTTTGACATTAATGAAAATTGATAAGAGAGAGAGAGAGAGAGAGAGAGAGAAATCATCATTATGCATTACCATGATTTGGATAAGACAATAATGATGATGATGGCGCATTAGTGACAGTCATTTCATAGTCTGATGTATTTATCCCAGATGAAGATATATGTGATTGGCCAGAAGGCATATAACCATAACTTCTAAGCGTATTGTTTGTATTACTATTGTTATTGTTATTATTTGTATTATAGTTTCCAATTAATTGTGGTTGAGGTCGAAACATTAATCTACCTTCAACCGGTTCAATATTACCATTACTACCAGGGCTGTTGTTAATTCCAGCAGCTGAAGATTCTGGTGATGAATTGAAAACTGAATTTGGCACCAGATTTGATGAATTCTGATTTACAACATGACCATTTGATATTGGATAGATTAAACCATTTGGATAACATCCTATATTGTTATTATTCCCTGTATTAATACCAGTTGTAACCGATGATACATTCTGACCGTAGACTGGTAGTGAACCAGGCGCCTCTGGAACAGAATAGAAAGGTGATACAGGTTGTGATCCTCCCATAGATTGAATAAGGACTGGATAACCACCTGGTACTATTGGTAAAGCACCGTGTAGGTTAACTTGAAAATTTGGAGTTGATAACTGTGAACCAACTGGACAATTACCACCATTCATTGGATTTGAACCTCCATTCACAGGCGAATAACCCATTGAAGTTGCACCTAAAGCTGTACCAGCTGGTGATGGTCTCAAACGATTATCACCTGCAACATTTCCTCCATGACCATTAATTCCATTACGACATACACCAATTGAACTGCTACTGGCAGCAGAAGATGACTTAATTTGTGACTGTTGAACTGCACTGAAATAATTCCGTTGATGTCGAACACTGGATATCCGTCGATTATGAGCTGTACGTCGACTGATTAAACAATAAGTAACAACACACAAACAGATGAAAAATATAGTCGTTGGTATAGCAATGTACAGAGTTAATCTATGAGTTCCACTATTTCCTGTCAATTTATGACCTTGAATTGAAGAACCACCTAAAACAAAAAGACAAACAATGAAAAGGAGCATAAATCAAACTGATAAGTCTAGATAAAGCAAGAAAGATGATACGGCAGCATAGGAAAATTGATTTTTGAGTGATTATTTTTTTTGGGGGGGAGGGAAGACCACTGTGGTTGATATGATTTTAAAAAGAAGGTTATTCACTAACAACAGTGAAAGATGTAACTCCACTTTGGATTTGTTTATTTGATTTATAACACATGGTGGTACTAGATGATGTTTGAAGCCTAAATTATTGCTCATAATCATATCAATGTAACCGTACCACTTTCAACATCTGATTCCTATGGTCTTTTCACTTCATATTCTTTGCTGTTATTCGTAGTAAAACTAAATATTGACTCACAACGTACTCATAGAACTAATATATCGGTTGATGACCGATCACCATCAACGGGAGAAATCTAAACAAGCATCGTTTCTACTACAGGGGGCGGCAGAGACAAGGACGTTAGAGCCAGCCAGAATCAGAAAAACAGCAACACAGGCCTTCCTGCATTAATCTGAAACCAATCAGTGTGAAAATCTATTGCACTCCACTCCACTCCACTCAGCTCAGCTCAGCTCAGCTCAGAATAAGGCGTGAACAACATCCCGATTCTCAACACTAATTCAGTCAAGTAAGTCAGTGCTTCCATGTCATGGTTGACAGACTTGGCGACACCTTACGAAAAGCATTCCCAACAAACTCCACACATACATCACATGAACAGCTGCCACCTATTCTCGGTCACTCGATAGTGGCAGTGAAGAAGGAGATGAGATGGCGAGAGTAATAATAATGATGATGATAATAATAATGAGGAAGGAGGAACTCTGGCTGGCTGTCTGGCAATGAATCAATCAACCAAGAACTTATCGCCCAACAAATATGCAGTAGAAGAAGGTGGAGATGGAGATAGATTGGATTGGACATAGATTGAGAAGACGATTTGGTGACATCATGTGCCGGGTCAGACCAGGCCTTTGAGAGTGTAAGCCAAATGGGAAACGACGAGTTGGTCATCTGAGGTGAAGGTGACACGGAGGAGATCATGTGAGGAAGAAATGTAAGGTTATGGGCAGTGGTAGGGCCATGTTGACAGGAATGGGGAGAAGAGAGTGAAATGGTGATGTGCTACTGAAGCCCTATGTTCCGCTTGGAATCAAAAGAGCAAATAATAAATAATGATATACTTACGTTGGTCCTTGCTCTAGAAATTTAATAATCCATACTCGAAAACATCTCCCAATATGGTTAAGTAAAGGTGTAGTAAAAACCATTACCAGCTCCATATAAGCACATTTGGTTCAAACGAACCATAAGGTGGGTATGAATGAGTCATTTTCCATCCTCTACCGGATTCCCATCAACTTGACAAAAGGTATCCAGCTGCGAATCCTTCAGACTGTAGAAGTAGTAGCAATCAGGCTCAAATAAACTGAGTTAAGTGTTCAGAAAAGGAAATATTGTCACTTCACAACTACCATGCCCTTGTTCGGAACGCACAAGTTCCTTAGCATTTTCCTCTAGGTAATGTAGTTTTTTAATCTCATAGTGTAAATATCCTTCAGTCCTCATAATCTGGAATTATTTTAGCATATTCGGTTAATAGATTATGTCTCCCAACATGAGTAGCATTCTACCAAGCTATTATTCCTCAAATTATCTTGCTTAGTTTATTTCGTCCAATTCTCATATAACCCTAGTTTGGCAGACTTTTATTGATACTGGGTGGTGATTGAAGGTGAAATGAGAATCTGGACGGCGGCTGAATTCGCACCAGCGACCCCTGGGTTTCCAACCCGTTTCTCTACCAAGTGAGCTATGAGGTCCGACTGCTGATCACATTTTTATTTCATTTCAATCACCAAGTCCTCAGCTGATACAGCATCGGGCCGGGATCCCGGTAGTCACTCGTTCGAATCCTGCCATGGTCCAAATTTTCATTTCACCTTCAATCATCGCTTAGTATCCATCATTAATGTTCACGCCGGACCTCCTCAACTGTTTAATATTATTAACAATAAACTGTTAGACGAAATCTCAATATTGTTGACACATTATCCTCATCAATATATACGCATATATTTATTTACATTGAGTAATTGGTGTTAAGTGATGGATGAAGATAAATGAACACCTATGGCAACACAGGATTCGAACCATCAACCTCACAGGTATTGATCCGCCATTCTACCTGCTGAACAACAGTCAGATAGAATACAGATTAGTGATAATGTCTTTGATTGAAGTGTTGATTGATGCTGGTCAACTATCATCTAGCACCAGTAACAACAACAGCACCTTTCTGTCAGATCACGGCTACCTCATATAGTCCAAATTGATATTAACTGTACAGAATGTCTTAGTGTACTTCACACACTACTGACTGACCTCAGTAACAGGATACTGACTAGTCCTTCAAGTAATCAAGAGAACCCAATTAGTCACGTATGCAGCTTTTAATTGAAGAACAGAAAAACTCAATTAGGGGGTTCATCAACTTCAGCTCATCATATTAACGATGAATAACTAGATGTGTGTGTGAGAGAGAGAGAGAGAGAGGACGGAAGATAATGTTGTTGGTGTGTTGACCAGTGTCTGAAACAGAAGTAATAGTAGCCAAGCCTTCTTGCTGATGAAAAGAAAAAGGTTTAGAAGCATTTTTAACCTGGAAGAGTGGATGACTAGTAAGTTGGAGACAAGGACAGACGTATAGAGAGATAGATAGAAAGGTGATCGTCAAAGCCAACAAGGTTTGTCAATTAAGACAGCTGTGTGTGCTGTCTGAGTGTTTGTGATTATAACAAAGGGACAGATGGTTACACTCATGCTAACATAAACACACACACACACATGGAATAGTGGTGTCAGACAGTACAATACAATAAAGCCAAGCAACAATGCTTTGTAAATTTCAACATGAAACAGCGTATAACACAATTATTATTACTAAAACAAAAAGTCTGACTGCTTCAATACGACTATACACTTAACACAAAGATATTACTAATTGGTAATGTAAAGAAGGATATGTAACTCGAGACCTTTCTCTGAGTGCATGTGTGTGTGTGTGTAGGTGGGTGGGTGGGTGGGTGGTGAGTGAGTGAGTGGGTGGATGGATGCGTGGGTAACAAGGCTGAAAGAAAACTGAGAGAACATCAAAAATTTAATTAAGAACATTTATTTCAACTCATTAAGGTGATAGCAACAAGAAAATAGAAGACATCTGGTAGCTTTTTATAATAAAAGTGATATTATTACTACTAATATGAGTATTGGTGATAAATTTTCAAAATAAATTTATTTACACATGTATTGTTTGGTTATTTATTTCCTTTGTTAGAAAGGAACACTTGAATGGATATAGAAAACAATCTGATAGTTCCAATGAGAATCTGATACTACTGAATACGTATGGGTAGTCTTTACAAAAGTACCTGAGTAATCACACACACACACACACACACACACAGAGTACATACAAGAATAAACAATCTCAGATGGGACATCAGTTCAGTCGAGTCGCAACAAGTCCGAAATCTCACTCCAAGGCTTCTTGCTGATTGTTTCCATCCAACTAACACAAACAATAATACTGTTAAGTTTCTAAATCTGACTCCTAACATCCAACACTGTTGATAGCATAATGATGTAATCAATATTTGTTGTCTGTTGACTACTGAACAGTGAACAAACATATCAACGATGATGTAATCATCACTTGGACTATCTATTGTTATTTGGCAAACTTGTAGTGCTACTGGGTGATGAGTGAAGGTAAGAGGAGGTCAGTGGTTCGATTACTGCTGTGGCTGAGATTTTCATTCCACCCAATATTAATAATACACATCTACCAAACCACAGCTATCTCACAGTATAATAAAACCTTTGTTTACACTGGGGTGATGATTGAAGATGAAATGAAAATTTAGACCACAAATGGATTCGAACCGGTGACCACTGGGCTTCCGGCTGGATGCTGTGCCAGCTGAGCTATGAGGTCCTGTTTCTAATCAGATTTTTATTTCAATTCAATCACCAAGGGTTTTGCCTGACTACCATATGAATTGGTGACGCATTACTACCGGTTGATCGTATTCACACTAACTGCCTAGTCAAGACTTTTCATCCCAATCCCAATCTAACGATCAAGCGGTAGTAACGCGTCATGAGTTCACATGGTAGTAGGACAAAACTCTTGGTGATTGAAGTGAAATAAAAATCCGATCAGCAGTAGGACCTCATAGCTCAGTTGGCACAGCATCGAGCAGGAAACCCGGTGGTCGCTGGTTCGAATCCGGCTGTGGTCCAAATTTTCATTTCACCTTCAATAATCACCCAGTTTCAATACTAGTCTGTCAAACTACGGCTACCTCAGATAGTCAAATGATAGCAACTTCTGTTGTCTTACCGCTTTGTCTATTGTCCGATGAATTGAGCGACCGTCATATTTGGTTTCTGAAGGTTATTCTTCAAGTGTTCACATGTATGAGCTTAGTAGAGTACACAGTTTTCTGAGCTGTGTCTAACGGTCATTGGTCATTTTCAAGAACACAACTACTATTTTGCTGTTGTTTTTAACGTTTTCCTCAGCAATGAGACTAACCCTGTCAGAGTTTACATTTTTACCATGAAGGTTAATAGTGTAGTCACATTACTCAACATATTTGGTTATTCCTTGTCATACAAACTGAATTCTATGCAATTATATTCACTGTGAGCTCTTCCATTTACAGCAATAGTAACAGTTCCAGCCAAAGTCCTTGAACCATACACAACCTCTCAACCACTTCATTGGTGGCATTATATATCTTGTAAAAGCTATCAGCTAGCATATACGCATATACACAGTAAACTTAACAATAAAAAGCATATTAATGAAACGCATAAAATTAAAACTTACCAATTACAGATATTTGAACAAATTTATGATCATCACGTCCAGCTTCTGTCAACACAGAGCATACATATCTTCCTGAATCTGACTGACTAACTCGTTTCAACACAAGTTGACTACTTGAGTTGATGAAACTTCAGTGGCTACAGCACCAGATGACAGTAAATTCAACGAAGAAGATGCTGATGACAGTCTAGATGAAGATTGTGTATCTGATAGTGAATTCAAACTTTTATCCAATGTCAATGAAGATGATGGTATACTGGGTAGGACAACAAATGTTCCACCCGCCCATTGAATTACCTCTCTACCTTCAGCTTCATAGGCTAAACGTTCACTGATATCGATGCTCTTACCCCACTGAATAGAATGGAAAGTAAAATAAACAGTAATATTAAATTTAATACTGTTAAAAAAGCATACTAGTGTTCATTAAAGGTCAAACGTAGTGAACACTAATTCTCTCGTTAAGTGATTTGGTTTTAGCTAGACGTAGAATCCAGGATGCCCGCTTCGTGGAGATGTGGCTAAGTGGTTTGGGCACGTGACTGTCAACCATTGGGACACGGGTTCTAACCCCGTTTCACCTACGGAGGTTGAGGCAGCCAGGTAGTATCACTAGCCCTCACACGATAGGTCTAGCTCAGTGCCTACTGCATGGATGTGAACTTGGTTGATGAATGCATTTCTACCATAATCTTCTATTGTTTCGTCATATTCTTGACTCGTCAGCTGGGTGTACTTGTAACCCTCACCCCTGAGGCCTGAACCCAAATACCCATCACTTCAAATGCCAAGAAGTTACCAACTAGGTCACTGAAACAAGATAGCCGCCTTTTGATATAAGATTCATTTTTTGTGATTCTTCTTTATTACACTGAATCGAATTGGTCGAACTTTGTTCACATATGGCTTCCTATGCGGATGCCTCAGTATTGCCTGAATATTTATTGTTAATAACACTCTCGCTTAGGTCGAATAGCTCACACAGTTTACCATTTACTGGAATAAGTAAAGTGGAGATTATTTGAATAATGGTATCGTTTCAGCATCGTTCATATGTCTATTAAAGTCACTCTGCGATGAATGTTGACGCTAAACATAAGAATTTGCGAATACAAAATTTAGTCACTGGCTTCCACGTCAATGGGAATGGAAGGGGATTAAGTCGACCCAACGAACAGTTGAAGGATCTAGAGTGATTTGTCGACTAAGAAGTAATCTGGCAACTGCTTCAGTACTACGGCTTGACTGCCACAAACCTTACTTTGTCAACCTCATTCAACAGCAGCTATATCCTATATGATGCTACATGCCAAGTGATTCACAATGGAAAGCTCAGTGATGCGTTTGAAGTGAAGACAGGGGATAAGAGTAAGGCAAGGTTACCGCCTACTACCACCACTGGTCATCTTCCTGGTTGTGGTCGACTCGACTGGACTGGACTGGTTTATGCAACAAACTATGAGGAGCGAGAAGATGGGTATTCACTGAGTGGACCGATGAAAAGACACCTGAAGAAGATTTGGATTTCGCCAATGATGATTTATGTCCGTCTCATGTCGCACAAACTCAAAGATCTACCGACAAAAGCCAACAAGTTGACAGAAGAGGCGAGGCAGTGAAGGAAGATGGGACTTCAGGTGAACGTAGAGAAGACAGAGGTGATGAAGGCACCCAATCATCATCAGCAACAACGACAACAAACACGAATCAACATGAAAGGGAGAAATATAAAGGAAGTTGTCTCTTTCACCCACACCTACCTGGACAGGTCAGCATCGTCTCAACTACAGGCGGCACAAGAACAGATGAGGATGTCAAAACTAGCCAGAATCGAAAAACAGCAACACAGGCCTTCCTGCATTAATCTGAAACCAATCAGTGTGAAAATCTATTGCATTCCACTCCACTCAGCTCAGCTCAGCTCAGCTCGGCTCAGAATAAGGCGTGAACAACACTAATTCAGTCAAGTAAGTCAGTGCTTCCATGTCATGGTTGACAGACTTGGCAACACCTTACGAAAAGCATTCCCAACAAACTCCACATATACATCACATGAACAGCTGCTGCCTACGCTCGCTCGCTCACTCGATAGTGACAGTGAAGAAGGAGATGAGATGGCGAGAATAATAAGCAAGAATAAGCAAGGAGGAAGTGTGGCTGACTGGCAACGAACCAACTAAGCAAGAACCTATCGCCCAACAAACATGCAGTAGAAGAAGGTGGAGATGGAGATAGATTGGATTGGACATAGACTGAGAAGACTGTTTGGGGATATCATGCGCCAGGTCAGACCAGGCTGTTGAGTGTAAGCCAAATGGGAAACGACGAGTTGGTCGTCTGAGCCGAAGGTGACATGGATGATATCGTATAAGGAAGAAAGGAAAGATTGTGGGCATTTGTGGAGCCAGGTTTGAAAGACTGGAGAGAAGAGAGTGAAATGGCGACGTACTACTAAAGCCCTATGTACTACTAGGAACCCAAAGGACTAATAATAATAGAGTGGTTTGTCAGATAAAGTAAAAGTAAAGAAGTCGAAAAGAAAGGTCAAACTACACTCAGAAACCTTGTGCACATTCGTGCAGTAGGCAATGAGTTATAACTATTGTGTAGCAGGTAGTGATATTACCTAGTCCTCTCAAACCTCAGAAGGCAGAGTGGGATTCGAACCTGTGACCCATTGGATGAAAGTCAACTTAGTGGACCAATGAACCACAGATTCACGTATGAAGGTGAACCTTTCTATTTTAAATAAAATATTTCAATTTCCAGTTAGTAACTAGCATATTAGCACTATTTTCATTACTATTGTCTTTCACAGATGAGGAGTATGTACTTGTAATTCATGAAGTCTTTCACCACTGATCTGAACGGTATAGAAGAATGTAAGCTACCTGACTGAGGTCCTAGAGACGACAGGAATCAATGATTAGAAACTCTTAGTCATACAGTCCAAAACCAGTCACAACGACGCAGATGTATGCACCCTTTGTTATCTTCGAATTCTTTAGTATTCTTATTAAGCTTTGTGTATTTATTCTCCCAACTGTCAAACACTCTTATCTAATTTAATATCGTTTTTTGCTAGTTGCTACGATTTGTGACAGTTTGAACCGATCCATTTTTGTACCAGGTTCTATGTTGATTTTGTCTATTTGTGTGGGTCTGATTAAGTTGTACTAGTCAGTTCTTATGATAACCATTGCATGTCTACTACTTAACTGTTGATTCCACATTCACTTATACTGCAGTTATCTTCGATTCAACCTGGTGCATATTTATTTATCAGGCTATAAGCCACACTTGTTGTATATGACCATATGATACTACTTGACTGGTCAAGGCGTGTAACTCGACCCTGGAATTCATTGCTTGGAAGATGAATTCCTAAGCCAACGAATCAGATACAGTGGTACTGTGAGGTGGGCTGATTATACGAATGTTTGTAGAATAGTGTATATCATGTAATGTCATCGGAAAAAGATTTAACGGTCAACTGATGAGGGATTCTGGAGAAAAGAATGCAAAATACTGGAAGATAAATTCAGGAGATACGTGATGAAGAAACTGAAATGGACGAAAACTTCGCATAGGAGATAGATATTCAAATAGTTGTTTGAGGGAATTCATTGCTTTGAGTATAGTTTTCATCACACACTGACATCAATTGAAGAACCACTGAAAATATGAGATGAATAGGTACCTTTTCATTCTCTTATGGAACTTGTTATAAATACGCACCCACAAAACTGAGTCTCATACGAGGGGAAAAACCGCTGTCTCGTATTTTCAAGTTTTCAGTGATTCCTTAACTGATCTCAATCCGAAATGAAAACTAACTTAGGAAACAGATATTGTTTAAATAAACAATGTGGTCTTAATTAGCACAATATACTGTCCTGGTCCTATTCTCTATTCTCTACACTATTGCATAATTCCCCGAATTAAGGTTGTTGGGTTAGATGGAGGTAAGAGAAAAGCGGCCGCAAGCAACAACCAACAGAATGACCTTGGAACAACCAATCAGTTTCCTTCAACGTTAAAATGGCATTTCAACGATAGCAAATATATTCATAAAAAGTGGTAAGGTTAAATACTTTCAGTTACATTGTAGACATCTCTCTCTCCCTCTTGACCCATGATGGCTCAGTTTATCATTGATGTTCCAGTGGAAAGGTGAAATCAACTTCCAAACATTTATTCTTTCACCTGACTATCCACAGTTCCATTTCAGCAGCCATCTACTAATCAGATTCTATTCTCTAGGCATTCCGGAGAATCTTTTGTTCAAATTTATTTTCAAACTAGTAATAAGTGGATTGATGAAATCAGAGGAAGTACTCCCCTTTTGTAGGAAATATTTCTCAGAGATGATATTTCCTCGCATCAATACTAGTTAGTTAGCTTCAAGTTGGCAGTTTTTCTGAGAATCTCCCAAGTTTCAAAGTCAATTTTGGACAATTTCCACATAGCTGGAAATGTTTTCTGGTTAGGAGGTCACTTGGTGATGAATATATCCTGAAAATGAGGAGTCATATTCCCATCTGAGAAGCATACTTCACTTAGGAGTCAAATAATCAGTTGTCCCAACAAAGTTGAACGAAATTGTGAACTCAGCAAATGAACATAACTCGGTGCTACTCTCCTATTGGTCAATATTTAAGAAATGTTATTGGTTGTTGAAGGTTATTTAGTTGATTATTAACTGTTGCCGTCATTCATTACCTTGAACCTGGATAACAACTTTAAGATTTGTTACTTAGGCGTGGCTGTAACGGCCATCCTGGGAAAGTGCTGAAATAACCAATCAGATTTTAGTAATTCGGTTGGAAAGTTGACTTTTCATTGTAAAAAAAACCGTAAATGGTTATCTTAGCAGTTGTCAGCGTCGCCATTCAAGTCACTTGTTACTTCGTGGTTGATTATCAGCTGAACTAAACGCTGTGTACTTTTCTTTCATAACGATTAGTTGTATGCCTCTAACAGCACACCTTTGAACCACTACAGCTGACTTCAGTAATCATATTCTCTTGAATTCATTTATAGGATGTTTATTCCTCTCAGTTAGTCATAAAAAACCAACCATCTTATTTGTAGTCATGGCAGATCCCTTTTTAGTGAATAAAATTATATACTACTTCCGGTTAGTAATATTATTGAGGTATAACAAAAATAGATAGATAATGTCAAGCATTAGCATAAATTGTCAATCAAAAGGAATGTAACTAATCTATTCACCATCATTATGTCACTATGGCAACAATAACAATAACAATGATGATAGTAACAATAATGACATATACTTGGCATCAATTAGTCTTGACGAACAAACAATAGTTCATTATCATCAATGTCATTTATAAGATTATTGAATTGATTGAGTGGATACTTGGTTGAGTAGGTAAGTGAAGTATACAGAAGATCTGATCAGTTGATTATCAAACAATGGAACTAGATCAAAGAGTGATGGGTTTTGGTTGTAAATCTTTGCTTTGATACAAAACCTAGAATTTTGAAGATTGAATTTACTAATCAGTCAATCAGAATCGTAACAGAGGATGACAGAGAGAGAAAGAGAGAGAGAGAGAGAGAGAGAAAAGAGAGAGACGGTGAGTGTGGAAGGAACTGTAAACCAATGACCAAGTCGTTTAGTGTCAACAACTTAGTGTATCAAACCGTCAATGTAGAGCTTACTAGTTGTGTGCCGGTTAATGGAGCTACATCGAACAAGTATGCATGGAATCAGTAAGTCAGTAGTGTAGAAGTCAGACGTAGAGTTTTAGACAAGATAAATAAGTGATATTAATGAGATGATAAACTTTGATTGACTCTGTTGGCTGGGATATGTATTGCATCTGTCTAACCACCATCTGTCCTTTTGTCTAGTATTCTCTGAAGTAGAAGGAAATTGGTTACAGGTACCTAGACTACAATATGGTATCCGTCTCTGAGCCGAATAGGGAGATGTAGACTTCCCGGCTGGAATCCACGGGACAGCTGAGGACCTTAGGTGATACCGGCTCAGGATTAATCGCAGTAGCAAAGATGTATCATCTAACCGAACGTCATCACTGGTTCATTCCGTCCTGTTCTATTTCTCTGACTTTGAAACCCCCATCCCCTATTTTGACTATATTCTTCTTATCTTTCATCTTGTTGTTTAGTATCTTGATGTGTTGGTGTTGAATGAATTTGTGTGTGTTTGAAAAGGGTGTAAGTGCTGCGAAATTAATCTTTTGAATAAACTCAAGGAAATAGGGGACAAGTTTCAAAGTTATACCCCACTAGTTGCAACTCAGATACCTAATCAAATGAGGTCGTATACACTAAGGAAAATCTGCTGTTTTCATTGCATAATGGAATAACTATGATGCTTCATATAAGACATAAAATGTTTCAAATCTATTTATTTTACTGATACACTAGGATTTGTTGGTGTAAACCATAATATAAGTTTAGAACTTAGCCAGCGTGCCAGAACTTAATTCCATATTAGATTTGCTTATTTGATTTATAACACACAGTGATGCAGTATTATTCATTGTATGACGTTTGAAGGGTAAATCACTTAATGCTCATAATCATATTAGTGTGATCACACTACCTTCGATATCTGATTTCCATAGTCCTGTCACCTGATAGTCTTTGTTTTATTGGCAGTAAAGTTTCCCATAACTCTGGTATAATTGTTGTGTTATCTCTATGATATATGTTGGCTGGGTGTTAGTTCGACGAACAAAGATTCAGTAGTCAATCTCTGCCTCACTCTCCGCCTAATTATATTGGACTTGAGTACAGTGGCTTTATCGTACTCAGCCCATTGTGCGATTGTGTGTTATTATGCATGCATCGCAATAACTGAGTTTTTTTCTAAATCTTATTCAGGTCTGTCATTCTATATTTAGCTAGGTTCCTATGTTCCACTAATCTAACTAACCCCAACCGGCCACTCTGACCTATGTACTTGACCCCACTCACAGTCATCACATGGAACTTGAAAGATTAGCTTATTTTATTGAATTGGTTCTATCAGATCCTTAAGTGAGTTTGTAGGTTTAAATGCCACCCTAATTCCAGCCTTGTTGAGGATCCTACGTAAAGTTTATGATGTACTTTCCTTATAGGGTAACACAATGGAGGCTGTGAACTCCTTACTATGCGTGTTGTCGTTATCATTGGTACTTGTATTACTGTTACCGTTATTATTTCATTTCTTATGTGTTCGTACAGATTTTTTAATAGACTGCAGAGCATAATTACTAACTATTAGCACTTATTTTATATGTGTCACTTCCTTGTTTAGGTCGTTGCATTGACTGGTGAGTTGTTTAGATCTGTCACTTAGACATTTGACTAAACCTGCCTAAACTGACTGGCATTGGATGAGATGACTTGAAGTCTAGATACCTGTTGGAATGTTTCGGTTTTCTGTAGATGATAGTATCCAAACTACTGTCTGTCCAACATGGTTTTGGCTAGCAGAACAATCCAAGAAGCGCGTTTCGGACTCGTCACCTGGATGTAACGGCATCCTAATGAGTGATGTTGTTCCCACTGAGACTCAAACCTCGTACTCATCTCTTTAAACACCAAAGGGTTATCCACTAGGTCATGAAGGCACGATAGCCACCTCTTGATCGATAGATGACATCAAATTGGTCACCTCCCAGTAACCGATCAATGAACTTAATCCAATCCTGGAAGAGCTCAGATGTGACAAGGAATAACTCGATGGTAACGTCAATGAGTCCAACAATGGATGACGAGGGTTCGGATCTCAAGCGAGACGTCAGTTCTTTCGTTACTGCAGATACACCAACCATAGCGACATAAGTGCCGAAAAGCAAGAAACACATGTTCAACCAATACTAGGTTGTATTAACCCAATGTTATATCTACCTGAATGGATAGGTGGATATAGCAGATTTCATAGAGTGTCTTTAACGCTTAGTATAGCAAATAAACCTTAGAAACCAGAAGTATCAAACTGTTCTGGGTTATACTTCTGTAACTTATTTAAATCTAAAAGAAACTGTTACCTTAGAAATGTTATTAGTGATAAATCTCACTGGTATTTCTTTAACTTGGTCGAGAGTGAATTGATTAATTTACTAAAATTATTTAAACAATACATATTTACGGAATAATTTCGTACAATGTCTAAATACTTCTAGCGAAGCACATTTCTCAATTTTCTTACTCACAAGGTTGCCAAATTACACCTGTTATTGACAGAAAAATTAGGTTTCTATGACGGTGCTAAAATATTACTGTACACCTAATTCTCTATCTGCTAACAGAAGTTGGGTAATTCGGCCTTGCATAACAACTGAAAATTACAAACATGGAAAAAATAACTGATACGAATTGCGCAAGAAGTGGTTGTCGTGCGTCAGTGGCTTAGTGGACAGTGCTCTGGAGTTTGAAGTGGATGATATGTGATTTAAACCTTAGTGGGATGCAGGTACGTTCGACTGTGGAGTCCCAGGTAGGACGGGACGCGCGTCCTGGACTTCTCTGCTAGTCACCAAGATCAATATAACACCATGAATATCCGGCCATATCGAGGCATTCGCAGAGGAACCGATCTGTCAGGAAAGGTCGGGCGATTCGGCCCTATATAGCATCAGGGAACTACAGTATCATTACTATATCTCCCGTGACAAGTTGATGAGCGAAATTGGCGTCAAAAATGTACATTTCGTTCTACATCAATATAAGGGAAAACACTACACACTCAGCCAGTTTGAGCACACCCATGAACTAGGCAATGAGCAATACTTGTTGAGTGGAGGCTAGTGATACTATATGGCTGCCCAGATCCTCGGCATACGGGGTGGAGTTTGAACGCGTGACTCGCTGGTCAACAGTCGTCTCCCTAAGCCACTAAGTAAGCTACAACTCATAAGTATACTATAAATGATAGAGGTATTTTTAAAGAAGATAACTTACTCGAATAGTACTTGACCGATGTTCTTCAGGATTCACTTGACAATGAAAAATGGCGTCTTGACCAGCTTCAACTGTTTCATTTGTAACACGAGGTCCTTGAATAATCGGTCCATCAACTCTTGCTGTAAAAGTAAAGTTTTTAAAAGGAATACAGATGTATATATAATGAGTTTCGGAAGATATTCAAAAAGCAAAGTACTATGTAGAGAAGTCTATTTAAGAGATAGTAAATTAGCCATACTTCCTACTGCATTAAAGTGAACGGTATTATCGTAAGTTCCACAATAATTTAGTTGAATATACTTCAAAACCAATGATCCCAAGGATGATGAGGGTTGAATGTCCATACAACTAGAAAACACAAAGTATCAACTAAATCCCAAACTACTGAATCCTTATCAGTAGTATATAAAATGGATGAAAATATCTTAACCAATATAAATTAACCAGTAAATTATCAATAAATATTATTTTGAAAATGCCAAGGCAAGTTATTATCGTAACTAAACGTCAAATTGACTGTCATTATCATCAACAATAAGAATGAAAGTAGAAAATGTTACATTCCATTTTTATTCTGACAGCTTTGAAAGCTACACTAAAACTAAGTTGTAAATGGAATTCATATGTTAACTAACTAATTTATCCCCTTATAAACATCCAGACCATAGCTGTTATTTGTATTCTGTGTGTGTGTGTGTTTTACAATTCCCTCTCTTCATTTCAATATTGACCTTCAGTATTCATCTTCACACCTTCATCTTCATCTTATGTCATTGCGATTGACATAAGAAGCTAGGGGAGAGAAGCACATCACATAAACATATTACTGCCAAATCATAATGTGAATGCTAAGCACAACAAGGTACAACGAAAGCTTTTTACACGTTAATATAATCCTACTGATGAAGTAATCGAGTAATCTCAATTCATTTATACTCTACAGTGTGTCCGTGTGGGGGGGGGTGACAAGGTCACCCACCAGAAAGACATCTGTAGATTAGATCTGAATATTTCCAGGATATTTTTGATATTCGGTATACATTATCCATTAAGGATGTTCTTTCATGCATACACACACATACATACGTACAAATGAGTGCATCTAAACGTCAAATTTTCGAATATTTCCCTGGAAAAACCATCTGGAAGGTTATAAGTTATATACATCATTTCTCCTTATAACAGCAATAACAATGTGTACACGTTATGATTGGAAGGAAAACTCCAAGACAGATGAAGGAGAGAGAGAGAGAGAAAGGGGGGAAAGCCTTCTGTATAGTCTGTTTCTTTACATCATGTAAATTTGACAGATGAAAGAAAGAATTTAAGACTATCAAATAGGTAGAAGGTAAGCGATGTAACACAGAGGGGCACGTGTCCGTGAAGGTATCTGTTTTCCAAACTTGATTACGTCTTGTTCTAATCAACCCTGTAATAACACTAATCATTGAAACACGTTTAACAATACAATCATGATTACATAACATACTATCAAAATACTGATTGTATGTGTAAGTGTTTACGTGTGTATATGGAATCTTGGTGGATGACATCCACTTAGATGACTGTTGATACTGAAGAAAAGACCACTTTTGACAGGCAAATATGACAAGTACAAGTCAAACTGTCAAAAATCAACGATAAACATTTAAAAACTTTTTATTCTTCTAATCCATTTACATATACAAATGTAGAGCAGCAGGAAGGATAAACTAGGAGAAAAAAAAAATCAAATCAACATAACAGACTGAACGAAAAATAAGTTTTAAGGTTCCATGTATGCCATCCCTTTTGCTTTTCCTTTTTCTCCCTCTGAAATTGCCAATACTAACACACCATTACAACTACCACCACCACCACCACCGTGATGATCAGTGATGGCGTCAGGAAAACGTTCTAAACAATTTTTGAGATAAGGTAGAATATTAAAACCACAACAACTGAGATCTGCTAGCTTTTTAAATCCCTAGTAATAAGTAGTGTTCAAACAACCCCCTTTCCTATAAAAATTATATTAATCGAGGTATTATTCAAAAGGATTATTATTTGGGTAAAATGGGAAATGTATGTATATCTATGCATTGATGCCTATACACCAAGGTAATCACGCAAACTTCAATATTCTATGTTGTATACGTTAAATCTGTCTGAATAATGTCAACCAACTGTCAGGTGAATTCACGTTAAGCTTTTTTTCCCCTACCTTATTTAAACAAAAAAATATATACAATATATGTATGTATGTATACACTTGACTTTTCTCCTATACAATATTAATGGCAATATTACACTTAGAATATCAAATACTGTAAATACTAGTAGTCGATATAAATTTTGATATAGCTACCACTCCTAAAACAAAAACAAAATATATTTTCTTCCATTACAAGAAGGAAATGTTTTCGTTGATGATATGGCTTTTTTTTCCTTATCTCCTGTTCACACGCAACATTTTCACAAACAACAAAAGGTATACTAGGCAAAATCTGTAGACATAATATGCATATAATTGTAACATGCTTATACACGAGTAAAGTAAAAAAAGGCGCGTGCGTGCGCACGCGTATTAAAACAAAAGTAAAAAAATTCAATGTTTCAGGAATGATCTTTCAGGTAAATAAAGCAGAAATCAGCTGCATTAAAGGTCATTCGTGTTAGTTAGTTAGTTAGTAGTCATTTTAGTCATTTCCACTATGTAGAAAATAATGTGTAGCAATATGACAGATGAATTTGACAAGTTTGACATTATTGGTTTAACAATAACTACAAAAATCTGATGATGTTGAGAAGAATATGACAAGAGCAAAATTTTCAGTAGGCATGTAAGATATTTGATTAGATGTAATCTAGGCTTCTATGTAATGTGTATGTATACCTTGAATAATAGGGATAAACTTTCCATGTTCCAATGAATAGATAGTAGAATTATTAGAGAAAATATTTCATTTTATTAGTCGAGATGGTGATTCAGGAAGAACAATAATGTGCGGACCAAATTACAACGCTACACATCATTATAGAACAGAGCATACAATGGCAGTCAACTCAACTCTACACCTCAACTTCATCGACTTTGAAAAGGCCTTCGACAACGTCGACCCAGAAGTAATTTAGCAGGCAGTTGCTTCAACACTACGGTTCTAGTGCCACAAACCTTGATCAGCCTCATTCAACAACTATATGAAGACGCCACATGCCTAGTGATCCACAGTGGGAAGCTCAGTGACACCTTCGAACTGAAGACAGGTGAGAGGAGTAAGACAAGGCTGTCTACAATCACCAATCATCTTGCTGATTGTGATGGACTGGATCATGCAGCAGACAACTGTGAGGAGCGAGAAGATGGGCACATGCTGGCTGTATTGGGAAAAGATGCTAGGAGATTTGGATTTCACCAACGATGACTTGTGTCTGATGTCACACAAACTGGAAGATGAGTAGGCGAAAAATAGCAAGTTGTCAGAAGAGGCAGGGCAGGGCAGCCAGGGAAGATGGGACTTCAAGTGAACGTAGAGGAGACAGATATGATGATGATGCCCAACCAACACCACCACCACCAACAACAACAACAACGAGCTCCAATCATCATGAACGGGAGAAACTTCAAGGAAGTAGTCTCTTTCATCTATCTAGGCAGCAGCATCGTTTCAACTAAAAGCGGTGGCTCAGGTGAGGACGTAAAGTCGGTCAGGATTGGAAAATCAAGACAGGAGTTCATTAACCTGAAACCAGTGTGGAGATCATCTGCAATCAGCATAAAGCGTGAATAACATCCGAATTCTCAACACTAATTCAGTCAAGTCAGTCAGTGCATCTATGTGATCGTTCAGAGACTTGTCGCGTTACGAAAGGCATTTCTAACAAACTACAGACATTCATCAACAACTGCCACCCACATTGGCTCGTTACTGAAGATCAGTTGGCCAGAATAATGAGAATAAGCAACAAGGAACTCTGGGAATGAACCAACGAAGCAAGAAACTATCACTCAACAAATATGCAGGAAGGAAGTGGAGATGGATTGGGCATACACTGAGAAGGCCGATGGGGGACATCACACGCCAGGCCAGTTGCTCGAGTGGAATCCCCATGAGGAACGACGAGTTGGGTGTCCAGCGAGGGTGACATGGAGGAGATCGTGCGAGGAGGAAATGAAAGCTTGCGGGCTTTCATGGAGTCAGGTTCAAAAGATTTCAGAGAACAGAGTGGAATGGAGGCGTGCTACTGAAGCCCTATGTTACACTAGGAACCCAAGGGATAAATAATGATAATACTAGTCGAGGTGGTCGACTTTCAGTTAGTCGGCCATGTGTTTATTGAATCCTGTTCTATCAGTTGGCATTTGAGCAACCAGATTGTAAATTTAGACATTTCTGGAGTCGGTGAGACATACAACTATCGATTAATGATTTAGTGTGCTACATAATGGTCCGTTCAATTAGATTTTATGACTGAGATATGGGAGTTGAAAGTAGATATGATCTAGCACACTGAAGGAGGTGTAGGCTGTCGGGTTTTGGGGGACTTCAGAAAGATGTTAGAGAACTAATAGTAAGAAACTTTTGGGTTTCAGAAACCAATCCTTAAAGATCATGATACAGTAAATTCATTCGCCTTTTATCTGAATCTAAGCTTTGAACATCGTTTTACTGTTTCTTCATTTTCTTTTCCTATCGACTCCTATCATAACGGTTTACTTTAATATCCTTCTGCATTTGTTGTCTGTCTTCTAGACGAATATACACTGTCATGTGAGAATCAGAGTTACCAAACCCAATATTTTGCTGCTAATCAGTAGTAGTAAATAGGAGTCAACAGGAAATTATCAGACTGATCACTCTCTGGGAGCTAGTTCACTTTCATTGTGTACCATAAATAGTATTGGTACTTCGTGACAAATATAGCTAGTTGTATAGTTAATTTACTAGACCAATAACTACCAAACAGAGAGATAAAATCAACGTAGAACATTGCACACAGCTGCATCACCTCAAGTTATCACACTTCACGTTAGCATGCAAAGAACAAGTGGATAAAAGAAAGACTAACATCAAAATCGACAAAGGTTTGCGGTAAGAGAGAAAATTTAAGGATTAAGGTTGGTCAAAACATCCAAGCT